TGACTTTGTGCAAGTGTACAAAGTGTGCAAGTGTTAGAATTGATGCTAGTTTGAAGCCAAAGGGTAGTCACACCAAATACTGATTTGATTTAGATTTTTTTTCTGTTCACTCACTTTGCCTTTTGTAAATTGATAAACATGAACAATTACAATATATATTTTTGAAAGCATTCTTACTTTGCAGCATTTTTTCACATCTGCCTAAAACTTTTGCACAGTACTGTACATATACCAACCCTCCTCTTCTGTAGACACCATAGGGCAGACCTGAGAACCCCATCTGTTCCTCTGACAACTTTCCCGTCTAACTCCCCCATCCACCCCTGATGTTCTAAACTTTCCCTTTAGTTTTGATTAAGTAAATTCCAGTTGCTTAAAAGATGTTTAAAATGCTTTTTCCCCCCCATGAGGAGATTTACAGCACAGTGTTGTCTCTCTTATTAGATGAAAGCCTGAATAAGTTCAGATGGTCATACTCAGAAAGAGCTAAGAAAGGAAAAGAAATTAGACTGTTTTACATTTTAATGCAAATTGACCTAATTGGGACTTCTTAAAATATACTGTAGAGTGGACTGCAACTACAGTTTTAGATACAATGTTTCTCTTTTATGACAAAAAAAGTATACAAAAATGCTTAGTTTAGAGGAAATCTGCAAGTAGAGAAGATTTTGTTAGCCTCTCTCTCAGTGGGTTAGGGGGGATTGCTTTTCACCTATGGATTTTTTCCCCCTTTTCCTTTTTCTTTTTTTCTGAACTTTACCCCACTCCCCCACCCAAAGCCCTGCAATGCTTCCTCATCATAGTGGTTGTGAATGTTTCTGGCAGGGATGACTGAAGAATGGTGGGAGTATATGCCAAGAGTATATATGTGTATATATGTGTGTGTATGTGTGTATGTATACAGAGTATAGAAGAAAGAATGTAGCAAAGATGGTACATAGGTACAGTGCACACAATGATCAGATAATATTAATTAGATTTCATGGGAAATCCTTCAATTTGATAGTTATCCAATCTGGGGAACTAACCACCAATGGCAAAGAAGTTGAGGTCTTTTATGATGAAGTTCAATCTGAAATCAGTTGAACTATTTGAGTTTGGAGATGGGAATGCCAAAATTGGAAATAGTATGAAGAAAATTGCTGTAGGACTTTATGGCATAGGAAAGAGAAATGAAGCAGTATAGCATTATCAATTTCTGCCAGTGCAATTATTTCTTCATTGCTAAGACACTCTTCAAACAATTAAAACATCTACATGCTTGGAAGTCACCACATGGGGTACACAGAAATGGAATTGAATACTGGTATAAGGAGATGGAAGAGCTGCATCATAGCGAGGGGCTGACTGTTGAACACACCACAAACTCTTTATGTGCACGTTCCAAGTCAAGCTAAACCAGAGGAACAAATCCAACTAGTTTACATGATAAGACCTTGATTATCTAGGTATCATTGTAAAGGAGAACATCAAGAACTATTTTGAAGTCCTGAAGTTCATTAATAGGGAACAAGAGGAACTGTGGAATGAAAACAAAGCACTTGTTAAGGGTCAATGTGAAAATAGAGTGCCGAAGACCATCAAACAGAAGAAGCCAATCTAGATAGCTTCATCCAGAGATGGTGGAAATTGCCAAGAAGAAAAGAGATGCCAAAAGCAAGAAAGACATCAGGAAGCAACTCAATGAAGAATTTCAGAGAGCCGGGGGAGAGACAAGAAGCAATATTACAATGACATCTGTAAAGACATCAAAGATGGAAATAGACATGGAAAAACAATGAAAGATTTCCCAATGACATCTAAACTCAGAAAAAGGTTGCAACCTCAAACTGGTATGCTTAAGGACACCAATGGGCAAATAATAATTCATTCAAAGAAGGTCAAACAAAGATGGAAGGACTATACTGAAATTCTGCATAGGATCTGTATCCAGGTTATCTTAGAAGATATTCCTTACTTACAAGAACCTGTTACAAGATGAACTTATGTTAGCACTCTGGTCCTTACCAAGTTGGAAGGCTACAGGAATTAATAGGATATCTACAGAAATATGCCAAACAACAGAAGAAGAATCTGTAAAGATTCTAACCAAATTATGCCAGCAAATATGAAGAATGACACAGTGGCCAAGAAAATGGTAGAATTCAGTCTACATACTAATATCAAAGAAAGGAAACTTACCAAGAAATGCAAACTGTTGAACGATACCTTTGATTTCATATGCTATCAAATTGTCAGCCTTCCCAGGCAGACCAGACAGGAAACATGACCAGATGAGCTAATACTACTTTATTTGTAAGGCTACTTTAATGGAATTTTGCAAGTCTGAAAGTACAAATATCCTGCCATCTCTTTTACAGTCTGTGAAGTTAGGGAGGGTCCCTTCTGAGTCTCTTTCTCTGCCCATTATGCCCTATGCCCTCTCTTATCTGATCATTTCCAAGGCAGCATCACTTCTCCCTGTCTCCCAAAGTCTTTCCCACAAGCCATTACACAAATTAACCCTTAGGATCATCCAATGCAGATTTTGAACTTTGGTGATGGATAAATTCATGAGAATACCATGGATTGTCAAGAAAACCAAATGGATCATAGAACAACTCAATGAAGATTTCTCACCTGAGACCCAGATAAGCAGGCTCAGACTATCATATTTTGGACATATTATTCAAAGATCTATCTCTCTGGAGTCTATAATTCTGGGGAAGGTGGAAGGAAAGAGAAAAGAGAATAACCACAAGCAAAGATGATTGACTCAATTGCAGTGGTGATGGGTGCATGGTTGGGAGGCCTAAAGGGCCAAGTTGGGGACAGATGATCCTGTAGGCTTATATATGTGGTTGCCAAGAATTGATGGTGAATGTCTATCTGCCTATCTAGATTTCATTTGCCTTTCTCCAAAGTAAAGTTCTATAATATTGGTTGCACTATATTACTAACAGGGTTTCAATATGAACTCCTCTATTTTTTAAAAAAATCAAATTAACTAGCAATAAATTTTAAGGTAAAACAAGCAACTCTCTTCCATGGATTTCAAGAATTTTAAAAGTAATTGTGATGCATGGAAGCTGAAGATGGGAGAAATAAGACTTAAAGTTCAGGTTGTACCATGCTGCTCACCATATCAGGCAAACAATGGGAGATATTGGTCAAATATTTAAAGTAACAAGTCTCATCTCTGTCAGGTGGTCTTGGTTACCTTGGCTTTGCATATCATCTATTCATACTTCAATGAATGATTACCTGACTAAATAGGACCACCTACCAAAACTTTATTTTCTTTTCATACAAATTGTTACATAAATAGCTTACATGGTTGGGAATTATGTATTACATATATTCCCAAGTTACAAGAGGAAGCATGATGTTAGCCAGAAGGGGGAAGGTCAGGATCAATTTCCATTTTAATTTGTGGATTCGGGCCTGGGCCTGGGATAGAAACCCCATTGGTGATGCATATGAATGGCTTGTTGAGGGATTTAGATGGAGGGAATGGAGACACCCTTGCCTCCTTGGATCCCTCAGCAGCCTTCAGTACTGTTAGTTCTAATATCTTTCTGAACTGCCTGTGAATGCTGGGAATCAGACTCACTTATTTCACAGTGATTCTACTGCTAACTAACTAGGTGTATCCAATTGATATTGTCAGGCCCAAAGTAGTCAGGCCAATGGATGCTTCATTATGGGATTTCAAAGTGCTTGGTCCTGTTCTATATCCTGAAGTTGCTATGAGAGATCATCTGGGAATTTGGGGAGAAGTATTATCAACCTGATCATACCTAGTCATACATCTGCATCTAAACCAAATGTGAGATGTCATAGATATTCTGACCTGGTGCCTGGATTAAGTTCTGAATGGTGAGATATAACCTTCAATTCAAACCATGATGGAGTGGCTATAATTCACTGATTCTAGGACTATACCATCTTTGACTCTAGATGTGATTATGTTCCTAAAGAGAGAGCAGGCATTGTATCTGTTCCGTGAGACTTTTCAACTGACACACCAGATGAAGCTGAGCAATTGCCTACATTTCTTCTTCTACATTTGACATTTGTGAAATATCAATATGGTGGACTTCTTCTTCTTCTTCTTTTTTCTTCAGCAATGGAGATGATTAGTAGAGATCACTTTGATGATGCCTCCAAGGTCTCTCTCCCACTGGTATCATCACTTTATTTCAAAGTGATTGTGTGCCCATATCATGATCATCCATCTTTATATTGGTGAAAGGCAATTGGCTTAATTATCGTCCAAACACCAGGAGAGGAGAAAAGAAACAACCAAACATACCTCTAAGTCATAAAAAGGAGCATCCAACAAGAGCTTACAAGAACAAAAAAGAATGAAGGTAATCATTTCAATCTGTGTCATATCATATTGCATCATATCATTGCATTTTCCTTTTTTGTATGCATAGAACGTATACAATTTTTCACTAACTAAAAATGGACTTTCATATATTAGAAAACAACAACAACAACAACAACAACAACAACAATAATAATA